ACTTAAAAAGGTCAAAAAAATCAATGAAAGGGGGTTTTTTTTTTTTTTTTTTTTTTTTTTTTTTTTTTTGCCAATGGAAACAAATTCTAAGAATTACTGTAAAAAAATATCTCACTTTAATTGGCAATTTTCATGTAAAACAAAGTCAAACGAACATCAAAAGATGGATGATTTTTTTTTTGCAATGGAAACAAATTTCATTTCTAATACCAGTAAAGTATATCTCTTTAATTGACAAATTTCATGTAAAACAAAGTCAAACGAACACCAAAAACACTTTTATTTTAACATTTTTCACGTAAAAAATTATGCCAATCAAACACAATAATTTACAATTCCCAAGAAAACAATTTCTAGACAATTCAATTCTCTAAAATTTGTTTTCAATTCAATTCAATTCAATTTTTGCATTCAAACGGACCCTAAATACTATTTTCTGTTTTTATGTGAATATAGTTTTGAGATTTGCCAATAACCTAACTTGGCTTCGTAATTCGTAGCTCTTTAAACTCTAGATTTTGAGATGCATTTCATCATTTAACTTGCCAATATTCGTGTTCAATTAAATTGAGATATTGATTTTCGTTGTCAATAAGTAATTCATATATAAAGGAAAATGGTGCAACCATTTGTCTTTATTAAAAAATATACCCCATAGTTATTCTATTCATAGCCATGGAACATGACAAGAACATAGCCCATTGGCAAGGAGGGGCGAATCTAGGACTTGAAGTGAGCACGGGCGGGCGGTCGGTTATAGTTGGTCACAATAAAATATTTCAAATTTAATATAACAATTATTTGTGCTAAAAATGAATATATATTATTTCTGTGACAATTATGGTTTTAACCCAATAAGTGACATATTGACCAAGAGTTGTATAATTCAAATGAGTGTCTAAGGTTCGAATCCTTTTAATTTCATCTAAATCTCTAAAGTCTAAACTTGAACATATATAATTTTGTTACATATAGTGTCACAAGGCAATGAGTGTGATGATGGTCAAGGCTTCAACCATCTTAAAGTGGGGTTAAGGGTTCGAATCCCTTCTCTTGCATTAGTTTTAGGGAAAAATTGTTGAATCAAGAAAATAGCACTATAAAATGCTTTGAAGAAAAATTGAACCCAGGACCTTATATTTGATAGTGAAAGCCTCAACCAACAACGCTATAGGAGATTTTGGAAAGAAGGTGAATTATCAGATATATAATATAAATCTTTCATCTATCATCAACATAAAAAAAAAAAAAAAAGAGCTTCCGACGGATCCAGTACGGGCGGCCACTGGGGCTCGCTAGGTGCTGGATCAGCCACTATTGGCAAGTCTTGCGCTAAAGCATTCGTGCAAACGATGTAACTAATAACTTATACGTCATTATTAATTACTTTTTGTGGTAAAATCAAACGTTTTTATCATGAGATAAAAATGTAAGTTTTAAAGTTTACAAAATAAATAAAGACTTGAGAAATGAGAAGAGACTTGGTCTGGAGGCTAAAAATTTGTGGTCGACGTTGTTAAGTCCAAATTATAATTAAATTTGGAATTGGCAATTTCCTTGATCAAAATAATGTCCTAATTGAATTTTATTAGGAGCTTACCAAGTCATAATCAAAGTCAAAATCGGAGTTATTATGTCCTAATTATAGCAAAAGAGTTGGAATTAGCAGTATAGTCCTTGAAGGAGTTCAAGATGTCCAAAAAGGTCACATGTGATTATTGGAATACAATTAAAAGTCTAAAGAGTGTCAAAAAGCCACACAAGTTATGCTCTAAATTCTCAAATTCAACTTGCAATACATTTTTCATATAAAAAACGTTGAAATTTGGACAAGGCTGCTAGAAAAATTGTAGCACATTGAGTGAGCTTTTCAACGCTTTTTAAACCATTTCAATTAGGTATCTGAAGAGAAATTTATGATAAAAATACTCACAACTGCTCAATTGTCATTCGCCTGTTACTGGCTTAGCACTTAAGTGACGAGTTGACGTTCAGAAATCTATTTTGCTTCAAACACTTGTTTTTTCAATCCATTTTAATCCCTAAACACTTTCCTAGTATATATGCTACCCCTATGAATGTTCCAAAAGTATGTCGAATCATATTATTCGATAGAGATAGTTCCTTGAAGATCCAAATCATTATTCTTTGATCTCTAGATTCAATCACCATATCATTGTGTTCATAAAATCTTTACAAGCAAAGATATTTATTTGAACCATAAATTATTCCATTAATTAAGAAATACATTGAGCCATATATTTTCACATCCTTAGACATTAATCAATTGATCAAGACACAAAGATCATTTGATCAAACACCAATTCAAACAACAAGGAGTTCTTTGTTTAATTCACTGTAGATAAGTAGTAGTATCGAGGAGCTATTACAGAAGCACAAATTCAGGACTAAGGTGAAATACTAAGAGCTGGGATCTAGCGCCAGGAGCACGTAGTTCAAGAGAGCTAAGGTATAAATCAGGAGTCAGGATTTGTTTTGAAGGAGCACACCTCCAGTTGGATCAAATGAGACTGCAAGAATTGAGGTCGAAAGTTTTAAGTGGTAGACAGGTCTAGATCGTACCATAAGTTTGCTTCGATTTATAATGGATTATTGACTGACAAAGTGCCCAAAGTTTTTATACAATTAGGATTTCTCCCTAATCAATTTGGTGTTCTTTATTGTTTTCATATTACAAATTTTGGTAATTCAACATAAGATAAATTAACTTGATTGATTAAACATCTAAAAATAGCAAAAAGTGAGTTGATGCTTTTAATTGTATAATTCCGCACGTTGGGTCTAAATATTCGTAGATTTGAACTTACAAAAGTAAACTAGCTGCGCAGCGGCGAACGTGAATTTTTTGGGAAATTGAATCCTAATATTTAGGGAACGAATGAAAAATTATTTGATGATTTTAGATTTGAGCAAAGAAATGTGCACAACCCTCAAAAGAGGGGAGGAACAAAGGTTTCAATTCTAGGGAAAAAGTTTTAAAAAAATAAAATAAATTATTTACCTTTATAGGAAACGAGCATTGTGGTTAAGCTATAATAGACTCATTCATTTAATAGAAATATATTCCATGCACAAGGGGATCGCCATCGAATTGTTTGGCTTGAATTCTGCATGATACTAGGAAATTGAAGAGTGAAGACTGGCCACATTTTTTGTCGTTTAGTGCCTTGTGTTATCACTATTCTTTACTTAGTTGAATAATTAAATAAATACTTTACAAAATTCGAGAAGTCATAAATTACTCCATGGTTTCAAAAGCCTACGAGCAACCGCTAGTGAAACTGAAAAATTAATAATTACTAAAAAAAAAAAAGCACAATTTAGCCCCCATTTGGCCCTATTTTCAAGAAATGAAAATGGATAGAATAGTATTTTTTTGAAAAATGAATGATTGAAGAAGAAAGAAAAGTTTTCGTTTTACGTATAATATTATTTTATGAAAAATTATGTAATTGAAAATAAGAAAAAGAAAAATGAAATGTAATGTAATGTAATGAAATTTAATGGGGGCCAAACGGAGACTTAGCTTGTTTGATGCACATTTTTCAAGATAAATTTCATAAAAAAATAATTTTTTAAAAATATATAGTTACATAATAAAAAAAGTTATGCATAAATGAACAATAGTTATGTGTCCATTAAAAATGAAGTTTAATTATTTATAAATTTTGAGAGGGCTAAATAGGTGCAAAATAATGTAGAAAGGCGAAATTAACTCAATACAAAGGTGAAGTATTGATAAGCATGTACTAGAAAAAACCTTATTCAATCTGAAAAGGATGTCCATTTGAACCACTATTTGGCTTGCTCTTTTGTACTTGAAAAAGAGCACAGTATATTAACAATGACAAGAAACGGCACGCTACAATTTCCTGTCATGGAAAAGAGTTTTACAATGGATGGATAGAACATGAGGACAGTGAAGTAAAATGGGATGATAAAGAAACTGATTGACACCAGTAATTTACAGGTTTACAATCTCATTTTCAATTGTCACGGATCAGGTTAGCTGGTTCACTCAAAACGTACTTGGGTAACTCATACTTCGCACCTGCAATGAAATATTGGATCAACTTAAGAAAAAACTCGATGGGCATTGATTAGACGAATACAAATTGGAATGTGAACCTCTTTCATCATAGCAGACAGTTAAGTCGGGGTTCTGAACAATTACACCAGCACTTTCCACAATTGCTTGTGCGAGAGTAATATCAGCCTCAGCAGCTGCCCGAAGTGCATCCCAAATCTCTGATAAGAATGAAAAATTTTGTTGTTCACATATTGGTTTCTATCAGTAGCTTTACTTCACAAAGCTCCCATGTACACACAACAATGTAAGGAACAGTCGAGAAAAACACAGAATACCGAAGAAGCAATATCTTAGTTTCTTTCCCTAAATTTTAACATGTTAAGGTACCCCAATCAGCTTTACTACAAAAAAAGAGGAGAAAATGAAGTGGGAAATAAAGCCCCAACCAAGAACACAGGTACATGACATGCAGGCAGGGTATAAACAAGGAAAATCTGATACCTGCGATCAAGGTGAACAAATTCCCCATGAGATCGATGAAACAAATATTAAACTTCACTATGCTGCCTATAGCTTAACAAACGTGATTGAATCTCAAAAATTGTCAATTTGGTCTGGCTGGCAGTATATACTATATACCATAAAGGCATCACAACAAGAATCCACCAAGCACGCCAAAGTCAATTAGGTTGTAGTAAATGAATAACGCATTTTCATAAGAATTTATGGATGCAGGTGTCTCTGTGAAAAACTCCAGTTCTCCACCCAGAACCTAACCAGTGATTATCCTATTTTACCTTCACAATTTTGAATCTAGAGTTTGACTCAACTTTTCACTTGCAATTGATTTCACCAGTACCTTACATGGGCTTCAAAGCCCACAGGGTTTCAATAATGAGAAACAGGGTTTAAGATATACAAGTAGATTCCAAACGCTTGCAATTAACTTGGCACGTACTAAATTGCAAAAATGGAAAGTACATGAAAGGGTAAAGTAAGAATACGACAAAATAGGGAATGGTTCGAGTACAAAAAGTGTGAAAAGAAGAGGGGGGGGGTGGGGGGGGGGATTCAATCAAGATAGTGAGAGCTAAAAGAAAATCAGGCTGATTTTAATTCTACTTACAATAGTAAAAGCATGGTCAAATATATTAAAAACTACCAAACTCTCAGCATTGGACAGTGATGCATGCTAATTCTATCATTCAACTAATAACAAACTTGCTGCAGTCAGATGTATTTATTACAACTTACCATGATCCAAACCAACCTAAAAACATCATGGCTTGTTTTGGATAAATTTTATTTTTGTTTTTATTCTTTTATTATTTTTTTTCCTTTTAATTTAAGAGTTCTCAATTAAGAATGCATGCAATTTCTAACACGATCTGTGTCGCAAAAAGCTGTTTAGATGTGTTTTTTTCCGACATTTTTATCTTGTAAAAGTTTTTGAATTTTATTTTTTTATTTTTTTATTTTTTTTTGGGTTCCTTTTCTCAGTTTTCATTAAGAGTTTCCAGTTAAGAATAAATGTAATTTCAGACACGATCTCATGGTTATACATGAACCTGTTTATGTGATATGTGATGTTATATTATATTGTATGTATGTTTAGTTTCTTCATGATCTTCATTTAGTTGTTTTTTTATCTAGAATAGGTTTGAAATAGACAACATAATTACTCTGCTTAAATGGTACATTGATTAATTAGTCCTAAGAGTATTAGAGTGAGATACAAAATTATTCAAATCATGTGGTATGATACTAATTCAAAACAGAGTTCTTTGATAAAAAGGTACCTCTTTATTTACTGCATTGATATGTAAAAGTGTAAATCATTATTTACAGCGTTCATACGTATTGACAGGGGGAAAAAAGAAGTGCATTCAACAACAGTGTGTTAAAGCTTCGGTTCAGAAATGTCAGTCGTGTTGTACATAACTGAATCTAATAATAGGTACTATACTATATCCTTGGAATCTAAATAAATTTTACACCAATTTCTTTCACAAGCAAACTTTTTTACTTTACGTTCAACAGCAAATTTTTTAAGCTCATGTCACATCACTCCCACTTGAAAAGCAAAATATAAATTCATAAGGCCGAAAATGCACACGATTTACAGAGATTTGACATCCTTAATGACTGAGCATACATACAGAGCAAATCATGAAATATGTCCAGTTAAAAATTTGTGCAATCATGCATCATAGACTAATGATTGAGCATACATAACACTTCAGAAAGTTTACCTTTCCTGCCACCATAATGTGGAGCAGTGTCCCAAAACTCATCTCGCATCTGTATGAGTTGTGCCCTTGTTATTGGTTCTGAATGCTTCCATGGCTTGGGCTTGCGTATCTTCTTTGCTGTTTCTGCAATCAAACTTACAAGGAAATGACTCCAAAGAACTACAGTTCTTTGAACAAGTACTGAAGCTACCATCAATCTTGCAAGCAATGTCAGCAGGTTAAAAAAACCTATTATATGCTATTAAACAGCTCTAACAAGCAATGATTATCAATAAAAGTAAACTACCATACAGTTGAAAAATGAAGAAAATACAGAATTCAAATTGTACTTCCACAATGTAGCCAACTAGGATAAGTTCAAGAACGTCATTTCTGGCTTCAGACTTTCAAGCTTTGCCCTGATTTACCATGATCATTTATCTTTTAACTATACTCCTTCTCCAGAAAAATCTCTCCTCTCCTGCCACTTACATAATATAATTAGATATATATTTCAGTTCGAGACTTTATAATAAAAATTAGCATTAACCATACTTCAAGGTCAGGAATCATTTTCCAGGTACGCATATTAAGAAATACTGAATTTGATGAAGCTGGTTCTCAGCAATTACAAGGATATTAATTATATAAGGATTGAAAAACTAGAGAAGCTCAAAGATATCTCTGCTGTATCTTAAAAGCTGCAATCTCTGTCTTCCAAACGGAATCCCTTGCCATTTCAAACAGTAAATCAAATATGCCTATCCACCTGTAGTAGGATAATGCACAAGACAAGAAGATGAAAGAGGTGCTAGGATAAGGAGCGCATGAATTCTCTTCCGATTCATTGACAAGGCTTCAGCTATAATACTAACTATTCTAAATTATAACCCAAATTTCAGTGTATTATTATCAAAGGAGTGCTAGCATACTACTATACAGATTCAGTTTCATATCACCCTCATGCATGAAAAATATAGTGTCTCAAAGTCAATAAAGTCCGCTGTCATGTTAGCCAAAACTGCAAGCTTCTGCACTTATTTCCAATCAATTTCCAAATAAGTTTTTATCCCTTGCATAGTTACCCAAGCAATAACGATGCCAGTAACATGTTAGCACATGCGTAAAATAGCATACAACTCATCTGTAAATATTTATCATTGCAGCAAGTAGGACACTGATCACTGGATATAAAGATTATATCTGAACTTGTTGGGTGCTTATCCACCAATAATCGTTCACATTAGAGGAAATAGATTTTGCAAGTATGATCCTTCAGATAATAAAGCTAAGATAAGACACCAGTACACAAACCATCAAACTGATAGCATACTGATACATACACGATTAAAGGAAACAAGCTTAGGCCAGATCTGGCGAGCAATTGGACATCCAAAGACGATTATCAAAGTTCAAAGTCACTTTTTGGTTGCTTATTAGCGTAAATAGAACTGCAGAAGTGCAATTGAACTTAAATAAACCAATGTCCAGTAGATCAACAACTTGAAACACTAGGTATAGTTATACATGCCCAAAACAAATTCATCAAACTCATATGCTAAACAAGTTTAGTCACAAAACAATTGCATAATATCATTCTCAAATAAGTAAAATGCCAGCATTGTTATTCATCCAACGTTTACTAACCCAAGCTGGTAAACTGAGTATGGCTAGCGTTTTAGTTTGACTGCAGGGTGCATTACAGTGACGTAATATTAAAAATCCCACAGAAAAGAAAATAGCCTGGACATGTAAAATTAAACAATAATTTGTTGAATAGACTTCAACAGGTGAATCAAAATGCCAAATGAAATGAAACCTTGTTTCGCTCCTCATAATTCGAAAGGGGATGCAGAAGATTTCCGAATAATTGAGTTGAAATCAAACATCCCAATTTTAGTCAATCTTGCCAGCACTAATTCAAAGGCCTTAACACAAGTTATCTATCTCAAATAGATGTCCAAGAAAAGAATGCAAACAATTACTCTGACCAAATAATAATAAAATAATAAAAATAAAGAAGCAATAAAGTGAAAATTTCTATGTGAATGAACCACATTTCTAAATTTTGCACTTCATTCTCACGGCATTCACCAAAAATCCAGCAAATGCTCATGAATTTTCATATGTAAATTATCCGTAGAAATAAAGGGGGAAACACAAGTTACCTAATAAACGTCTATAAACCTCAAGATTTAATCTAACAGCACAAAAAGTCAAGCAGTTCAAGAACCATAACTACATCCATCAAATTGCACGTGGCAAAAACAGAGACCAGAAAATTTTCGTCGAATTATCAGAATTCACAACAAAAATTATTCAAAACCCACAATCAAACAGTCCAATAAGTAAATGCATAAACAAAGATAACAATAACAGTTTCTTGAAACATAATTTCAAGAAAATATTAACCATCGATCAGACTTTCAAAAAACAATTACAAATCCAAGAGTACCATCTGCTTTATCGCGCGATCCAGCGCAACCCATGCCGTGCTTTCACACGCGATCGACGATTAGATGCTATATGCTTGTATAACCTTTTCGTTATTGTAAATGGATATTTTTCGTACTTCTGTGGACCCTGTTTCAGTAGAGAGAGAGAATGGTAAACTACGTTTCAACCCGCAGTAAACAAATGGGAGAAGAACTTCACTCTTCCGAAAACGGTGATGATAAAGTACTAGAAAGAGTAAATTACACTGCAGGTAACCAAACCTTTAAACTTTTGTGATAATGATATCCTAAACTTTTGATTTCTAAAAGGGTCCCAAACTTATCAAACGTTGGCCGCATTAAAATTATAATTCATTTTTCATCATTTTTATCAACCACACAGTCTCCAATAAAATAATATTACACGTAATCTCAAATTTTTTAGGTACCGCTATTTTCATCCACATTTTTTATAAATACATCCACTTTTAAAAATAATTTTTTATTATATTTTAAATGCTATGTAAATTTACTTAAATAGACATAAACAAATTAAATAAAACTACAAAACTCTAAATTGATCGACTAATTTTTACTTTCATTAAATTATCAATCTTTTTAAATTTTTGTAGAATTTGTGTTTAACTAGAATCTTAATAGATTAAGAAAAACTACATGAATATAATTACGGAAAATTAGGCAATACTCTAATGAATGTCGTTTATTTATTTAATAAGTTTTTGTTAATGAATTTCTGTGATATATATGAACTTCAACTGAGCAATTCTGTAAGGTGTTTGTCAGCATACAACGCAGAGCCCAGAAAAGAAGAGTTGTCTTACACTCCCAGCAATCTACTTACAGAATTATTTTGAAGATGTGGCAGAGGAAAACGTTGGAATTGCTGAGGATGTGACTGAATTGATTGGTAAAACCCCATTGGTATACCTGAATAATATTGTTGATGGTTGCGTCGCGCATGTTGCGGCCAAGCTAGAATCTATGGAGCCTTTCTTTAGCGTTAAGGATAGGATTAGTTATAGCATGATTTCAGATGCTGAGGCAAAAGGCCTTATCAAACCTAGGGAGAGTGTCCATATTGAACTTACAAGTGGTAACACTGGCATAGGCTTGGCATTCATGGCAGCAGCAAAGCGATACAGGCTTATCATTACGATGCCTTCAATTCTCATTGGTTTTGGTGTTGAAGTGGTGCTCATTGACCCCGCAAAGGGAATGAAAGGTGCTATTCAGAAAGCTGAAAAGATACGAGACAAGACACCTAACTCCTACATTCTTCAGCAGTTTGAAAATCCTGCCAACCCGAAGATACATTATGAAACCACTGGACCAGAAATCTGGAAAGGGTCAAACGAAAAAATTGATGCTTTTGTTTCCGGAATTGGTACTGGAGGGATGATCACTGGTACAGGAAGGTTCCTTAAAGAGCAGAACCCTGGTATAAAGCTGTTTGGTGTGGAACCTGTTGAAAGTCCTACTCTCTCTGGAGGAAAACTTGGTCCTCATAAGATTCAAGGAATTGGTGCTGGTTTTATTCCTGGGGTTTTGGAGGTTGATCTTATTGATGAAGGAATTCAAATTTCAAGCGATGAAGCCATAGAAACTGCAAAGCTTCTAACATTGAAAGAAGGGTTGCTAGTGGGAATATTATCTGATACTGCAGCTGCTGCTGCAATTAGGATTGCGAAGAGACCAGAGAATGTTGGAAAACTCATTATTGTGATCTTCTCGAGTTTTGGTTGTGCTTTTTGAATTCGTGAGGCGAGAGGCTGAGAACATGACTTTCAAGTAAAAGGTTTGCTGGCTTTTCGACCCCCCTAATATCATATAAAATTGTTGGAAATAATGTGACGCTTTCTTATAGACATAGGCTTTGTCACATAGCATGAAGTGATGGGATTTTGCATTTTATATATATATGGGCAACCTGCAAATGTAAAAGAGTTACATTATTAACGTGGATGTAAATAGTATTTCTTAAATGTGGATATATGTTATTCAAATGAATGAATTTAGTAAGAATAAGATTGGAATATAACATGGATTTATAGTATTTTTTTAAATTTTAAAATTTTATTAGGGATGAATTTAGAGTGGGAAGTATTTATAAAAGTGTGGATGGAGATAGGACTACCCAATTTTTTTTTTTTAACCACACATTATTCAAAAAAAATATATTATTCTAATCATTAAAATTTCAAGTAATAAGAGCCAAACAGGAGCCAAATGTTTGCACTTAAAAGTCCTTTTGCGAAAGAAACTATCAATTTAACTGTTAAATGTCAAATTGTTTAATTTAAAACAAGAAATGGTAAATAAAAGACAAGAAATAAAAACTAATAAAGAATAAAGAAAATGAATTTCCAGCGTAGTCAGGGAGATTTCCCTCGGATTTTCTTCAACGGACAAGGTTTTTTCCCTGGCTTCCTCACGGCCCGCTGGGGAAACCAGGAGAAACCGTCTGGTATTTTCCGTCAACAACCAGAGGATTCTTCCCCAGTTTTGCAGGCCAGATGAGGGGCAGAGATTTCCACCGCTAAGCAAGAGGAGCAGCTCGGAAAACGACATACTATGGACCCAATTCCACAATCTGTACCTTGATTACAGATTGTGGAAAGTTGATCCATTAAAGAATCATTTTTTTAGGGTAGCGGACTCCATTTTGAGAAGGGTTGGGATGACGAGCTTGGGGCCGACAGGTATTTACCAATCCACAGCTGCTGCGCCGTAGACAGCTGATTCTGGGAACACCTGAATCTATCATTTTTCACAACGCTTAAATCTATTTAATTATTTGGATGAATATTTTCTCATATTATTCTATATATCATTTTCATAGATTACCCCAATCTGCACTGGAAGCCTTCGGAAAGAGGCTTGAGATATTATGTTGGGCTCAAGAATTTGCAGCTAGTCTTGGTTTATTCAAATAATAGGTAGCAAATATGAAAACAAAACCGGCGGTAACACCTTAAATTTGATGAAGGTTCAATTAGAATGTATTATTTGATACATTATTATCCAACGTTGTATTAACTAATGCATCCTAAATAATTTATGGGCTTTGCTAGAGGTATATAAGGGTGTTCATACCTCTCATATGATCGCTTCGTTTTTTGTACGTAAGAATGTCCTCGCTCCTCGGATAGTACAAAAATCGACTTTTCCATTATGTAAACTTTAATTTTTCTTTTTTAGGTGGTAGCTCTATTTTTAGGTTAAGATCTAAAAGGACGTGATGGTTCCAAGAACTCTAGAATCATGATGAGTTGTCCCCAACCAACTCATGTATTTATTATTAATTTATTCAGGGAACATTTCTTCTCTCGCGGTTCTAAACTAGAATAATCATATATTATTGAATTGGTTTTGTAATAATTATAAGTTTATTCCCTCGCCTTTTGAACCAAAAAAAAAAAAAAAAGAATCTCGAAGAAATAATTAATTATTCATCATTTACAAAGCTGACATAATCGTGGATTCGTAGTCCATTGCATCATGGTCCTTAATAGTTTAGACAAACACGGTTTTGGTAATACGAAGTAATTATTTTGTAGGTATACGACATTTCTTGGTCATTTCTAGTGAAAATATTTGATCTGCATTTGTCCAAATGGTTTAATTTTGAATTTTCTCAAGAACGATCCGACTAGAAAGATGGTATCACATATGTGAGGCTTGAAAATGGATAAAAAGTACAATACATAAAAGTGCATAACTATGTTGCATTTTCAAGCTCTATTTCAAGATTACATCCCCAAGCCACAAGAAACATGAATGGAGAGACACAGAGAGACGAGAAAGTAGGAACAAAAGGGACATACACTTTTGCACATTTCATATTGTACTTAACAAAACTAATAAAATAGATGATAATCCAATTTTTTTATTAATAATGCTCTCTGTTGACCTCTTTTTTGTAGGGATGACATGGCCAAAAGATATCGGGTCCTCTCGCATTCACGTAAGCCTAGTCTTGTACACGTGGACAAATCATAAATCACACAACCTTTTCCGAAGTTGTGGAGAGGTGGCTGTGTACACTCCAACGATCAAATCAATGCATGAGTGAAAGTGGTCTAGAATATGCTAGAGTCGTGGGCCACTAAATTTAAAAGGCAAGAAGGGTATGAACTGAATATCAATTGAGAGCAAATTTAACTTTTTAAAGTCTAAAGTTGCATTACCTTCAAATAAGACAATGTGTACGATTTTATAATTGTAGAGGAGAAGTAAAAACCGTTTTGAAAGTTTGGGGAACGTTCTACAACCACTTGAAAATTTACGAAGAACGTTATGCTACGTCAAATTCAAGTATTAGATATTATCAAGTTTACGTTCCAATCAATTTATTATTCAGCAGAATTGATTAATCAAAGCAACACGTCACCTTAATTAATTGTCTAGGTGATTAAATATACAGTCCAGTTAATTCCTACGTTGAACTGTCGGTTTGCGTAAAGTGAATAAAATAATGCAAAACACAACTCACGATATGATGACGGAGAAAACCCCGACGTGGGTAAAACTTCGGGACCAAGCCAATAAGTTCCACTATACCAATTCAGCAAATACAAGTTCTGCCAAACTCCATACCCAATCAGACCCGTTGTTCCAGTCTCATGATCTACTGCCATATATACTACTAGTCTCCTACTAGCTTCCCGATCTACCTCCTGCAGTCCAATCTGCTGTCCAATACAACCTCCTAGTTTCTAGCTGATTGTATCACCAAGTGAAATTTCAAGAACCTCCTGTTCTTGTCCAATTCCTGCGCTTATCGTCTTCCTCCCTCAATCCCCCTTTGAGAGAGTCCCTTCCTCAATAGATGAAGAAGTACTGGTGTTTTGTCTCCACAAATTTGATGTTTTTCCCCAAAATATTGGTTGTCGGATTACAAGAATAAGATTGATGAATTCTCCAGTTGGTTGTGTTCTTGGATCTCTTCACAATGATATGAATGTGCTCTAATAGAAAAGCACAATGAAGCAACCTGTTTTTCACGTTCACGACCTTTGTATTTATAGTTGGGGGCAATTAGGAATCCTAGGCCGTGTCAAACTTTTCAAAAAGCCAAAATTCGACTTTTCATATAACACCGTCGTTTGAGTGAAAAGCGAGTGGAGAGCGAGCGACGGGACTTCGCTCGAGCGAAAAGCGAGCGATGAGCGAGCGACGTCCATTCTGCTTTTCTCGCTTGAGTGGCGGCAGGGCGAACAACTAGCAAACTTCCGACGCCGCGACCTTGATTTGAACCAAACACTCAAACCCTAGTCCCTACCACACAACTTTGCTAAATTGCACCCTAAGTCCCTAACTTTTATAACATTGTACAATTGAATCACTGACTTTTACAAATTTACAATTTAGTCATATTGTCCACAGAATCGCCAATTACAGCTTTAGGCTTAACAAACTTCTCCTTTGGCATTCTGTGACAAAACTCTACAAATGAAGTCAGGACTTGACAACCAAAAACTAAACTACCCAGTAATCCCAATCACTGAGTCTTGCATTCCTTTGTGTAC